ACTGAACTGAATTGAATTGAATTACTTTACCAACCATCAGATCTCCTTTGTATCGGAAGAACAACCCTTCTTGGCACTTATGAAAGAAGCCAAATACTTCCTGCAGGCTGACATGGGGCTGGTTATTCACTTCCAGACACTATCAGACACATTTGGGGCTGCACAACGCAGGAAATCACACAGAGGGGCACATAGATGTGTAGTCCTCAAAGACATACTAAGAACAATCCTCTGGTAGCTGGAATTGGCCAGGAGTCTCTACTATGTTGTGGAGCTTGTCAGAGGGAGATCAGAGGTGACTGCTGCTATGCAATAATGTTCCTTGATCTTTATGTTTGTTATGCACTTGGAGTCAGCAGTGGGTAGCTCAAGTCTCTCACTCATTTCTGAATATTAAAAACCAAAACCAAACAGTTTTGCTGGCTGAAATTAGGCAAATATACAAGTGCTTTACCACAACTCTGCCTTGAAAAATAATCTTCTAGAGCCACTCTTCACCTGGAAGTCTCTAAGTTCTGAACCCACAAATGAGGTCCTAAAGCCTTTTTTTGGGGGGCTACATAGTAGGAAGTTAATTTCTCGAAATGCACCAGTCCTTGTGAAATTTTCTAGTTTGTGGCCTGTTCATCCCCTATGAATATGAAGTTATAAGTGCAAATGCCTTATCAAAGGCCTTTATCTGAATAAAAGGGCTTTGGAAAGCCTCAGTTTTAGCTTCTGTTTCATTTTTCCCACACAAACCCTTTTGTCTTTATGTTGTTTCTAAACAACACCAGTATTAGTGGAAAACAACAGTCAGAGTAAAAAATGTAAAGCAACAGACTGCAGATGGTAAGCATGAACTACAGCCTTCCAGGAAACACAGCCTGGAGGAAGAAGGGTAGGAAAATGTAACTACTACTTTTATAAAACTGTCCATCAAAAATTACAGAGAGCTATAGATGGAGAAAAGAATTTTCACACATGAACTAAAAGCCATTTTACCCGTTTGTCATCATTCCCATTTCTCTCAAACACACACAGCTTGCAAATTTGCTTCTGACTCTCATAGCTCACAAAAACTTCTCATGAGAGAATGTCAAATGAATTTGAATCTCTTCACCACTGAAATTTGGGCCTAGTGATCCAGCCAGGTTTATACTGATCAAAGAGTACACCCATCAAAAACCTGAACAGTCAGTTTCTCCAGAATAATGCCATGGGAAAAGGTGGCAAAGGCTTTACTAAAGATCAGATAGACAAAATCCACACCCTTCCCACCAAGTAGGTCACCTTCTCATAGAAGGAGATCAGGTTAGTTAAATAGGACCTGACTTTCACAGAGCCCTGCTGACTGGGCCAGATCACCTGGTTGTCCTGTAGATGCCACATGATGGCACTCGAGATGATCTGCTCCATAATTTTCCACAGCACCAAGACCAGGCTGACAGGCCTGTAGTTGCCCAGAGTCTCCTTCTGGCCATCACATTTGCTTAATCTCTGGTCAGCTAGGAGCTCTCCAGTTGGCCAGGACTGAAGATCAATGACAGAAAGTGACTTAGCGAGCTCTTTCACCAGCTCTCTCAGTACCCTTCACTGAATCTCAGCTGGCCTCATGGATTTCTGTGTGACTAAGCGGTATAGCAAGTTGCTGCAAACTTGGATTCTCCTTGCATTATAGGGGCTTCATTCTGCTCTTCATCCTTGTCTCCCAGCTCAGGGCATTAAGTACCTGGAGAACAACTAGACCTTCCTATTAAATTCTGGGGCAAAGAAGGCATTAAGTACCTCGGCCTTTTCCTCAGTCTTTGTCACTGCACTTACCCTTCACATCCAAGAAAAGATGGACATTCTCCTTAGCCTTCCTTTTACTGATAATTACATATGGAAACATTTTTATTGTCCTGTACAGATCAGGTGGAATAATATTTCTTAAGACAAACTTATTGAGCAGAATCAAATCAAAGGCATGGTCCTCCTTCAGCCACAAACTGTGTTAACTATCACAGGCAAAGAAATGACCATCTGTTCTTCTACAGTTCCACCTCCTAGAGCTCCCCTCTCTTCTCTCCAACCCCACACAATTGGCAGTTTGCTTCTGACCTTCTCAAAACTGGCAAGTTTATCATCATGAGAGGATAAAACACTATAATTACACCTAGAAGGGAGGTACATTTATCTGCTCATCATCATTCTGAGAAGAAATGAAGGATTCTAAAGCACACAAGGGGTAAAAAGCCAACACAAAAAAGGAGTGGTCATCCAACCTAGAATGACTCAACAAGCTAATGGGGTAGGGGGAATCTACTCTTTTATCACATGCACTGTTCTGCTTCTACTAAGGTTATACTTTCACCTATTCCTCTTCAGAAAATCTGAACACACAGACACCCTCACACCTCCTGGCTTTCACATCTGCCATAGCACAAGTAAGAGGCAACCATGTGCTGCTAAAGGAAGCTGTGGTGATAATTACAATTAAACCTACATACATAGGAAATCAAGAAAAGAAAATCGACAACATAAGTCAGACAAGCAAGGCAAGGAAGCATTAGAAAAAGGAGGCTTGACACAGAGTCTTCTCAGTCTTCTTTGTGGGTATGGAAATTCCTCCCTGAGAGGACCTGGAAGTCATTGAGGTGTCAAGCTGCATGACCTAACAGTCTTACTGTGGCATGTATACCTTACACAAATATGAAGCCGCAATTGAAAACCCCCTATTATGGGCCTATATGTCAAGTTCAATTTTTTCAGCAATTACAGCAGATTCTCTTTTTTTTTTTTCTGCTGCTTTGTTTTTCCTCACACACAAAATTCTTTCTGAGGAGTTTGAAGCAAGGATTTGCTGCAAAGTCACAGTCACGCTTTCAAATGCAAAAGTATTTAGCAGAAATGGAGAAAAAGAGCCATGACCTTCCAGGAAACAATGGCTTGAAAGAAACTGTAATTACAACTACAAAGAAACACAAGGTCAAAGAAACTCTACACTGTGGCATTCCAGAGAGATACAGGTGGATAAAGGAGGCTTCACACAGGAATCACAAGTGGTTCTACACATGCATCATGGTTCTGCATGTACAGTAATCGTGGAAATACCTTATTACTGGAGGACTGTCTTTGTCTTTCAGGACAGGGAACAGAAGATCAGAGCAGGCATTGGCCTTGGAACCAGGCATGAAATCAAACCATTTCTCAGCAAACCCCACCTATTTTCTGTCTCAGCTGTTTTCCTGGTTCAAAGTCAGCCTCTCACCCTCATCGCTCTGCATTCACAGCCTTTGGTTCCACTATGGATGGTGTCCAGTATTTTGACTGTATGTCAGCCTCAAGGGAAAGCGCATGTAATTCAGTGATATTTGAAGAAAAAAAAGTTTATGAAAGCCTTTGTCTTGGCAGCTGAACACTTTGAAGTTATGGATGGAGACTGCTCTCCAGTAAAACAATTATTAGACATCTTTTAATGTTTTAAGAGTTCCCAGTTAAAATGAAGCCCAGTTTCATACCTGCATACCAAGCATGGCAAAAATGGGAAACTTTAAAAACTGAAGGCACCCTACTTAACATTTCAGATTACACTAAATGTAGTAGATAAAAAAGAAGGATATCTAATTGGTAAAAAGTCCATCATAGCCACAGGTACTCAGAGTAGGGACTCTCTTCTCCAACCCTTCACAACTTTCATGGTGTTCTCTGACATAATTTGCAAGAACAAAACACCAGTTGCTAAGACAAAACACTTGCAATGTGCCCCATGATCAGGCCATGTACCTTTACCAGGAAGTGGAGGTACATTTCTCTGCAAGATCCACTAGCCTGACATTTCAGATAATTTGAACAGCAGTGGGTACACAAGAAGGGTATCTACTTGGTAAAAGGTCCATGGAACAGCCACACAGGAGCTCACACCAAGGACCACAGCCACAGTTCCTCAGTGTAATTTCTTGGGACAAGAAAAGAGGGGAAATGCATGGAACCATGACTGTGGGCCTCATATGAAAACTAGAAAAACCTGAACATTTACATAATTTTTGTATCTTGAAGACATTTCTAACTATACCAAGCTTTTTTACTAGCCCTCTGTCTCTGGGCAGACAGAATTTTTCATCCTGCCCAAACACTATGGGATGGAGAAACTGACTTTGTAGACAGACACCAATGAAAGAAAAGTCACAGAGACATCTTCTCCTAATCTGAGAACAAGGATCACAGCATTGGTGAATGAAGAGATTTCCCTACTCATCATGTCACGATGAAGAAAAGTAAAATATGCTCAAGAGTATAAGAAATGTACTGCTCCGATTAAGATCCAGTCATCAAAGTATCAGCTCAGACACTGTCGTCCTTCTTCAGCACAAAGGCAGCTCAAGATCCATGGCTCTCAAACCTTGACATAAACTGTACATCCATGCCCAATAACATGCAACATGAAAGCAAACTCATGAACCCACAGCTTGTCCAGGTGCAGTCTGAGCAGTGTGATATTCAAAAATATGATACCTTTACATTAATATTATGTAGTTCTCAACGAAGCCTAGGAATTGGAAAAACCTTGTCTCCACCAGTATCTCCTCATACACAGCACCCCCAAGACCTTCCTCAAACCTTTCATAGCTCATAGAGTTATCACAGATCTTCATAACTGCCCAATAAAGTCCACCCAGAAAAAAGCTGCACAATTTCTCCTTACCACGGATAAAACTTGCCTTCTGGTTATGCATATGTGAGAAGCTAGGCATTTTCTTCCATAAAACTTTAAGGAAATATGTCTCTGAAAGTCTTTCCCTTTAAAGTTTTGAACATGAAAAACATGATAATCTGATGAATGTAAAAGATGTGACCAGGTACACATTAGATCCTCATAACAAGCAAAGCAAGAAGTAAACACCAGCGAGGGGAGTGGGGGAAGGATCATAATATACTCTTCTAGATTATGGCACTTAGAGTCAGGTAATTAGAGCATAACAAACACAAAGTTTGCTCTTTCCAAAGCTCCCATCACGGCATGTCTCATAAGTAGATAATTAGGCTGTTAGCTGAGATTTAATGTCGACCTGCAAACACATGGGAGGAACAACCCCAGCACCCATACAGCAGAAACAACATGTCTTTGTGAAGATGAAATGATAGAGTGCATTATATTATAGATGGGCACTAAACTGAGAAAGAAGGAAAACATTCCCTTGTGTCATTCAACAAACACTCACAAAAGAGTCCCATCTTCAACCCCTCAAAACTTAGATGGTGCTCTAAGACACAAATAATTTGCAAGCAATTCTAATCAAGCTGCCACCAGGACCATGTCATGGCCTTCTCACAGATATATTTACATCTCTGTGTGAAGAGATGAAACATCGAGGTTCTAAAAGAGCTGTAGACCTCAGGAGAGACTGAGTCAGTGAAAAGCATATAACATAGTAGTGACATCATAAATATATAAATGCCTACTGTACCGAACATTCAGCCTCACTTCTGCCTTGTCTGCATAGTCTAAGGCTAAGACCCGATCCTACCCACTACCCCGCAGCAAGAAGCACCAGCACTCAGTACATCAGTGAACGAAGCTTTGCCTTCTTTGGCAGCAAAACCCACTATAAAAGACACAAGTAGGACGAGGAAAGGGCTGGAAAGCAGAAGAGGGAAGCACCGCGGAGAAAGACTGGTAAAAGGAACTCACCGACGGAGCGGCGGGGTCGGTGGGGCAGGCACCGGCAGGTTCCTCGTCGCCGAGCAGCGGCGCGGGCTCGTCGGGCGGCGGGCGGGCCGGCAGGGTGTCGCAGCAGCTGGCGGCCGAGAAGCGCAGGTGGCTCTTGCGCGAGTCGGCCGTGAGAGACACGTCGTGCGAGTAGGAGTGCAGGAAGGCGCGGACGCCGTCGATGCCCACGAAGTGCGTGGCAGGCACGCCGCGCAAGGCGGCGCCGGCCGTGGCCAGCAGCTGCTGCTGCTGCTGCTGCGAGCGGCGCCAGCGCCTCAGGCGCAGCGCCAGCAGCAGCAGCAGGAAGGCGAGGAAGAGGCAGGAGACGGCGGCCACGGCCAGCACGAGCCAGCGCGTCAGGCTGGCGGCCGGCTCGGCCGGCGCCGCCTCTGCGTGCGCCGCGCTGCCCAGCTCGGCCAGCAGCTCGGCCACGCTGTCGGCCAGCACCAGGCTGAGCGTGGCCGTGGCCGACAGCGCCGGCCGGCCGTGGTCCTTGACCAGCACCAGCAGGCTGTGGCGCGCCGCGTCGCGGGCCAGCGGCGAGCGCGCCGTGCGCACCTCGCCGCTGTGCAGCCCCACGCGGAACAGCCCCGGCTCCGTGGCCTTGGCCAGCTCGTACGACAGCCACGCGTTCTGCCCCGCGTCCGCGTCCACCGCCACCACCTTGGCCACCAGCGCGCCGGGCGAGCCCGAGCGCGGCGCCAGCTCCACGCCCGCCCAGCCCGAGCCCGCCCCCGCCCCCAAGCCTGCGCCCGGCCCCGCCGCCGGCGGGTACAGCACCTGCGGCGCGTTGTCGTTCTCGTCCACGATCAGCAGCCGCACCGACACGTTGCTGCTCAGCGCCGGCGAGCCGCCGTCCTCCGCCCGCACCCACAGCCCCACCTCGCGCACCTGCTCGTAGTCGAACGAGCGCAGCGCGTACAGCGCGCCCGTCTCCGCCTGCACCGACATCGTACGACGACAGCGGCGCGCCCCGCACCCGCCCCTCCGCCAGCCGGTACCGCACGCGCGCGTTCCCACCCCAGTCGGCGTCCGTCGCCCGCACCACCAGCACCAGCGCGCCCGCCGCGTTGTTCTCCCGCAGCCGCGCGCTGTAGCGCTCCTGCGCGAACACCGGCGCGTTGTCGTTCACGTCCAGCACCCGCAGCGCCAGCACCGTGCTGCTCTGCAGCGCCGGCCACCCGCCGTCGGCCGCCCGCACCGTCACGTTGTACTCCGACTGCTGCTCGCGGTCCAGCTCTCTCGCTGTCACCACGCGGTAGTAGCCTTCCAAGGACTCCTCCAGGTGGAACGGGACATCCCCGTCGAGCGAGCAGCGCACCTCGCCGTTGGCCCCCGAGTCCCGGTCGTGCACGTGCAGCAGGGCCACTACCGTTCCTGATGGGGCGTCCTCGGAAATCTCATTTAGTGCCGACGATACTGTCAGTTCGGGCGCGTTATCGTTGATGTCTGTCACGGTTATAAAAACTTTAGTCGTGTCAGAGAGCTCTCCTCCGTCATGTGCCTGTACTTCCAATTCATGGGAGGAGATTTCCTCGAAATCCAAGTCGTTCTTGACAGTTATTTCTCCTGTCTCAGAGTTCAGATGGAAGAGTTCGGCAGCACTGTGTGAAATTCTCTGGAAACTATATTGCACTTGTCCGTTCAGACCCTCGTCGGCGTCTGTGGCCGAGACAGTGACGAGGACGGAGCCCACGGGCACGTCCTCCGGCACACGCACCGTGTACTCCGCCTGGCTGAACACGGGCGCGTTGTCGTTCGCGTCCAGCACCGTCACGCGGATCCGCGCCGTGCCCGTCCGGGCTGGATCGCCGCCGTCGCTCGCCCTCAGCACCAGCTCGTGGAACGCCGCCTCCTCCCGGTCCAGCGCCTTCGCCAGCACCAGCTCGGGACGCTGATCCCCGCCGGGGCCCGTCTGCACGGCCAGCGAGAAGTGCTCGTCGCCGCTCAGCTCGTAGCTCTGCAGGGAATTCTGTCCCAAGTCCGGATCGTGAGCCTCAACCAGGGAAAACCGCGAGCCCGGGGCTGTCGTCTCACTCAGTCTCAGGTCTTTCTTTGACTGTCGGAAGCTGGGCGCATTGTCGTTAATATCCGAGATTTCCACTTCGATTCCGTAAACCTTCATTTCCTCCTCCACTATCAGCTCACAGCGCAGCAAGCATTTCTCCACCAGCCGGCACAGCTGCTCTCTGTCGATCCTCTCGGCAATCACTAAATGTCCCGTCTTCCCGTGCAGGGCGAAATACTGCGTCCTACCTTTGTCCAAGATACGGACTCCGTGGTCGCCGAGCTCCAAGTGCTGCAGCCCCAGGTCCTTGGCCACGTCACCCACGAACGAGCCCTTGGGCATCTCCTCAGGCACCGAGTAGCGCAGCTGCCCCCACGCAGCCTCCCAGGCCGCCAGCAGGACGCCCCAGAGCAGGACTCGCTGCCGCCGGTCCCAGCGCCTCCCCGCCGAGCACATCTCCGCCGCAGTAGCGTCGATCCAGGTCTTGCTCCGACTCCCGTTCTCGCACCTGCTCACCGCTCTCGGCCTCTGCCGCCCGCCCCTCCGCACCGCTGGAGCTCGGCTCCGCACCGGGAGAACGTTCGCAAACCGCTCGTCCGCCGAGACAGCGAGTGAGAGGACGATCGAGCCGGTCCGCAGCGGGCGGGGCTGCAGCGCTCCGACCTTCCTCTCGCTCCTCTCGGTCAACAGCGGCGCCCGCAGCCTCCTCCCGGCACTGCAGGCACCGAGCGCTGCCGAGCTCTATCTGCTCTGCTTTGCCCACGGGCAGATCTCGTGGGCTGGACACAGTCGCCACCGAAACATCGGGCCCGTGCAGCGGCCAGTCACTGCCTGGCCTTTTCTCCGTACCATCTCTTTGATCTTCGAGTTATCCATAGCTGAGAGGAAGGCAGAGTCCTCTCTTTGGGACTGGTATTTCTGTTACACTGAAAAACTCAGTTGCAAGTATCATTATATCTTATGTAAAATATTTTTCTCAGTTTTAGTGTGCATAGTATTCTATGGTCTATCCTATTATAAAAAAAAATACTGGCGCAGCAAAATAATAGAAGCTACGAGATATCACACGGGATAATCAGACACACCGGCCGCTCCTGGAGAAGCAGAGCTCGTTAAACCAAGTGTCAGGAACTTCACTTAAACTTTTTTCAATTTATATGGAACACGATCTAAGTTGAATTAACTACTCCAGCACCACTAACTGAGATAAGACATTTAGAGGCGGAAGAAGTTGGGGTCGATCCACTGAAACCGACAACTTTAATAACCCAAAACCCGTATAGCTCCGGAGGAGGCAGTTTGCTCCATCACCTGCCAGGGGCTCTGTTATCGCTCCCTGTAAGAATTCCCTTTGAGCACCGTACAGGAGGCTCCCCCACTGCTCGGAAATCATTCTCTCCCACGCCCACCCGTTTCAGGTTATAGGTCAACTGAGCACTCCGCACTGACTGTACTACAACTGGCCATGAGGCAGGACGCAGCTGCAGTGAACCACGCCAGAATCGTCTTCTTGTCTCCCCGCAAATCGCAGAGCAAATAATAATAAGAAAAATAAGTATATCTGCCTTGGCTCCTGCCCCTGTTCTCCGGAAACAAAATCGATAATGATTATAGACGGGTAACAGATTTGTTTACACCTAACCAATTAATTCGATAGTTTTAAAGACCTGGAAAAAGCTTTCTTTTCGTCAGAAGTCACTATGTAAATGCTTTATGGTTTTAGAAAAGTATTCACCTAATAATTCAATCTCCATTTTGGTTCTAAAACTTTTAAACAAAATAGTGTAGGAGAGCAAGACAAGAAAAATTGAGCTGGACACCTGGGCTGGGCTGTTTTTAAAGGTGCAAAAAGACTTTATTAGAGTGTATAATGTTTGTAATTTTGCACACTTCCTTGTAATTTTCTATATGTGTAAAGGCATCTCCTGGTAAAGCAGGTAGGTAAAACAACTATTGCAAAAAGCGACGGAAAGACCTAAATCCTCTGTTTAGTATTCCACGATCCACATGATCTACCAGGTCCAAGCACCTCTCTTTCGGACGAAGGGATCAGATAAATTACAGACTTTGAAACAAAACTAGATGAGGGGTTTGGGTGGGTTGGGTTTGTGTGTGGGCTTTTTGTGTTCTTTCGGTTTGGTTTGGGGTTGAGTTTTTTTTTGTTTCCTGTTTGTTTGTTTGTCTGGTTTTGAAATCTCAGTTAACATCTTTACCAGAAAAGGACGGGGAAGAATAAAAAAAAAGAAAGAGGGAGAGAGTGACAGAGAACTGCAGAGAGAAACGATGCCTCGAATAAGTAACCAGTCCCTCCCGGGCTACCATTTCTGATGAAACCTTATCACAAAACATGGTCGACGCTCTCTTCCGTCAGGGAGGAACAACCTGTAAACTTCATCTTTCAGTGTCAAAACACGCATATTTCAGGGGAAAAAAAACTCAAACCAATCAACAAGAAAAAAATCAAAACAACAAATTCCAAACACCAAATATTTTTTTGAGTTCTGTCACGTAAAATTAGCGAATCTCTTTCTGCAGAGAAGGAATAACTGAGAAACAACTGTACAAAAGAAAAAAAAAGTGAAGATCGTACTTGGATAAAATTTATCCGTCCACTTCATGCTGCCCTTTCGCAGCAGCATTCCCTCAAAACATGAGAGGACACAGGGCAACTTGGAAAACAGTATTAAAAGTGGGGTTTGAATTAAACAAATAGTACTTGGGGGGAAATTATTCAACCTCACTAGTGCTACTGTATGTGAAGCAGGCGTCTCTCAAATCATGGAGGGACAAACGGAAGAGGGTTAGGAAAAGCATGTGATTCCTCAATTTGTAGAGCCAGAAGCACGTTACATTTTGGAGTCTATATCGAAACAGTACTGACCAGGTACAAGCATATCAATATAGGAAAAAGCTATCAGAAGGAGAAATCTCAAACACCAAGCATTCAGCTCATTTTTTCGTCATGCACAATCACTAATTTACTGCGTTCACAGGTAATTGCTCAAAGGGGAGCTGCAGTCATCAAAATCTAACCAAAAGCTCTGTCAGAGGAGGTTTAGGTTAGATATTAGGAAGAAATTCTATACAGAGAGGGTAATTA